GCGGGGGCGAGCGGCGCGCCCTCCCCTGCCTGTTCTGCAGGAGAAACCTTTGGCTGAGGTTTTCCTTGGGGCAGCCTTTTCCCTCGCAGGAAACGTGCTGGAGCCACGTGGACGTGCAGCGTTTTTAGGAAGTCCTCTGGTGGTGCTGGGGGTTTGCAGTTGGATCCGTGAGCTTTGTGTTTCAATGGATCACTGTCATTTTTTGTAGTCGAGCGCCCACTTGCCCCGCTCCCAAATCCACAGTCCGTCTTTCGCCTTTGCTTCTTTTATTTGAACCTGCCCACTCTCCTCTGCGGAGACGTGTCTGGTGCTGGTTGCAATGTGGGCAGCGAGGGTTGCAGGATATCTTTGTGAGGGTATGCTTGCACCAGCTCTTAGCCAGCGTGCTGGGGTTTTAAGGAAGAAGAAATTTCCCAGCAGACCAGTGTGCGGGATTAGCAAAGCCTCTTTTCTGGGAGTGTTTAAATCTGGAGCAGATAGAGCAGAGCGTAAAAGCTTGGTGCAGGAGACCTGCATGGGCTGTACCTGCAGGCTCGAGTTAAGGAACTGGCAGGATTCGCAGACGTTAGAAATTGGAAAAGAATGAAGTTTCATCCGCTAAACACTCTACTTGCTGGAAGACTAAAATTTAATAAGAATAGCAAAGAAGTAATTGTTTTTTCTAGCTAAGAATGAAGAACGATGATGAGAAAACTGAGTATAAGTGCTTTCAAATCTTTGCTAATCCTTTTCATTAAAATCCTTAGATGTAGTATTGTTTTTATATACATATACACGTCTGTGAGAGATATACATATGTTTTACTGCTGGCCTGCTCAGCTTCCCATGCCATCAGGCTTCCTGAGAGATCTGGTCACCTCTCTGTGGGAATTCTTGTTCTTCAGCATTGCTGCATATGCCTCCAAGTAATAATCCAGATCTCAAAAGGCTTAATTTGATTAAAAAAAAAAAAAAGTTTTAATGGAATTGCTGTGAAAAAGTCATATTTAACAGTTGTCATGCAGCCCTATTGAAGATTTTTTAAATTATTTCCATATTGTAATTACAGGGGGAGAGAAAAACCCCAAGCTAGTAACATACTACTTTTTCATTTAAAATTTGATTATGTTCTTCCAAACAGTCTGGCATGGTCTGGATGTGAATTCTTGATGTCTGGGAGTAACAGCATGTTTTATCAGAGACCAGTTGCAAGAACCTGCACTTAAAGGACAGAAAATGCAGCCCTATGTGCACTTGTTGCAGGCAGCCCCGTGTCAGATCTGCCTCTCCCAAGCTCATTTTTCTCCTTTTAAGTTAAAAATGGAAAGCAGTAGATGTTCCAGGGGACTTGGGAATTCTCAGAATAATCATGTAGCCAAGAGTTACTGTTAACCTTTAGATCTATAAACTAGGGACTTTTAAGAGGTATAAATAGTATTGTTGAGACTATTATTGGCATACTGTGCTCAGCACTCCTGACGTACATTTTTTAAGGGGTAGAACAACTGGAAGCAGTCTCAGGAGTGATCCAGTGTCCAGAAAATGATCCTATGGGTACTTAATTTGCTCATTCTATTACTTACTGAAGCAAAAGTGGTTTTTTGTTTGTTTTTTTAAAAAGTAGTTGGCTGATCGTAGTCTGTGAGTATCGACTTGGAGTGAGAGTTTCTGATGATACAGGGCTTTTTAGTTTAGTTGAAAAAGCGTAATGCATTTAATTATTTGACAGTGAGAGCAATTAAGCAGTGGAACAACATATCAAAGGCTATGGTAGATTTGTTGTCTTTGAAATCGTTAATCCAAGACTAGATGCTTTTTAAGAAAAGATGTGGCAATTCAGCCATAAGTTATGGGCTTGATGCAGGAGTCATTGGCAATTTGGTGGCCTTTTTGTGCGGGTCATTTTTGATTATCATTACAGCTTTTCTCTCCGTGACCGAGTCGTCGCCTTCTGCCAGCAGCGTGCACGTGGCAGAGCTGTAATTAGGAGAATCAGTCGCTTCCCCGTTTGTTCACAAGGTCACATTACTTGAAAGCAGTGTCTGAGTGCCTGTCTGAACCCGGACTTTGAACACTGGTTTTATTGCTTGCTGCTTTTTATTCCTTTCTTTCTTTTGCCTGCATTCCTCTTTCTGTTTTGGTATTTCAGCTGTTGCTTCAGAAGTCCCATAAGAAGTATTTTCCTTGCAAGCAGAGCAGCACTGAAACGTTGCCACTGCAGAGCTTGTGATCTGCAAACTGTGCTCTCGGTTTTCTGGGGCATCTCTGCCAAGCTTGCCTCCTACTTGTCAGTTGAGTGGACAGTATGGAGAGGTGTGGAAGCAGCGAGGTCATCTGTTAAATACATAAGAGGGAAAATCCAGTGTGAAATGTCAAATCAGTGTGACAGCATTTACCCCACTCTCTGTTAATACAGTGGTTGCTGCAAAGGGTGCAATACTGTGGGATGTGGAGCTGTAGGAGACCTGCAGGATCCCTGTAGGAACCCTGTAGGAACCCTGCTTCCGTGACCAAAGGTGCTGGATGAGATTTTGCGTTGTGTACAAGCTGGGATCAGAGTGGATGTAGGCTGCCTTGGGGCCTGGGAGCCTGGCTCCAGGGACAGGGAGTGCAGCAGCAACTACAAAACGCTCTTGGTTTTTGGTAGCAGCTTGCAGCCTGCCCTGTGTTTGGTGTTGCAACAGCTTGGTCAGGAGTACCTGCCCTAGCTGGTTTAGAGTAAGCTTGGACAAGTCTTCGCTGCGGCAGTGGCAGCACTGTAGGTGAACCTGCAATGTCAAGCAGATTCCTTCTTTGCTCGCGTTGTGTTGTTGTGTGCTCGGCTAGAGGTGGGACCTTTGCTGAGACCGGAGTGTGCCAAATGCTGTCCGAAAGGAAGGATCCCATCCCGTTGCTGCCTGCTCTTCTGAAACATCTCTGCCAGACTCTTCTCGTGCATGCTTGATGTGACAGCCGTGCTCGGGATGTGTCTCAGGGAATAGCTGTATTTGTTGCAGCTGTTCGTCTTCCCCAGAGGCAGCCAAATGCCTGTGGAAATAGTGTCTGATCCTTTTTTTGCTTTGGATCTGCCACTCTGCCCCTGCGAGGTGGGCTTCCACCTTCAGAGGCAGCCGCCTTCAGCAAGGGAAGGAGTTGCAGGCTGGGAGTGTTTTTCAGTCTTTAGGCAAAGTGGCATTATGTGCTAGAGGTGTGACTGTGTGCTTTTCCTTTGAATGTGTGCTCCTGACCTCAAATTAAGGTTACTATGCTTGAGGGAAAGTAATAGAATTTATTTTCTGATTATTTTTTTTTTTTTAATGCAGAGGCTCAATTTAACTGCATTTTGTTTTCCAGCACGCAAGTAAAGACCCCAAAGATGGGAGAGACAGCAGAGATCAAAAAGAATGCAAGGAGGAAGGCAACAAAACCATCCTGGAGTTTGGGAAGCCGTTGCCGTTGCCCTCTCTCCCGGGCCTTCACCAGTCACTACCTCAGAACCAGAGCTATGTGGCCACCACAAAGTCGCAGACAGGTAAAAAGGACAGAGTTAAAATCCCTACAGCATCCACCTCCCAGACATGTGTGTGGTTGAGTGGGAGATGAGGCAGGTGAACAAGGACTGAAACCTCTGTTAGTACCTTTTTCCCACTGAAATCTGCTTTGGGGTTTCCTTTCCTGCTGGCGTCCGTCGGGCTGCTGCCGTAGACCTTGTGTGACGGGCGCTGTTTCACCTAGCCCCTGCTCTGCAATGGCCATGCACTGCAAGAGGGGGGCTTGTGTCCCCTTCTGGTCACCTCTGGATGTTGTCCAGGGTACCCTCTTGCAGTCTCCTGTTGAAGTAGCCTCCCAAGTGATGTCCACCAGTTTTCCGCTCCGCAGGGAGCACCTGCCGTGCGGTCCTTCCCGTGCTGCCTCGTTTCACAGGGTGCAGGTCCCTCCCAGGCAGCATGGGTAGGTAGGTGTGCTCCGTCAGGCACCACCATGGCAAGGATCACTCTTCTGCTAAAACTTTGTATTAGAGGGGACACTTTCATCCCATCTTCCTGTGTGATATCCTAAAGGTGTTTCTGTCACTTCTGAGGGACTTTGTATATCACCGCAACAGCTGGTTACCGCAAACTACATCCTTTTAAATAGATTTGATTTGGTTAACAGATTTTTGGAGAGGTCTCTTCATCGATTTTTGGTAAAATTTCATCGTAGTGGGCCATGAAGAAATGCTTTCAAGGAACAGGCTGAACAGCTGCGAACGATAATAACTGGTGCTGAAGCTGGCTGTTCTCTGCTGTACACTATTCTCAAAAAAGCCTGCACTAAGCATCCTTCTGGTGTGTGTTCACCAAAGATAGCATCAGGCAGCGAGGTGTGATGGTTGATTCGATTAGAAGGCCAGGAGGGAGACTTAACAAATTAAGACCCTATCAAAGTAGTGAAAGGAATCAAACAAACTTCCATAATAGGTGTGAAATGAGGTTAAATGGCAAATGGCTCTTTATTTAAGGTGCCTTTTCCCTGTGTGTTCTTCATTACTGCACGATCGCTTTCGTTGTGAGTCGGCATTGTTAGCCTTGCAGTATCTGTTTGAGCAAGTTGGATTCTATTCAGCCTCCCATGGCATGGGCAATACTGCCAAACGCGGGCTAATTTAAGGATTTGGTACTGTGTATGATGATGTAGGGGCTGGAAGGAGCGTGGAGAGGACACTGAGAATTTGGGTGGGTTTGCAACGCTGGCAGAAAGCTCTTGATGTGTTTGCACGTGTGTGCGTGTGTGTGTCACCTTCTGGTTGGCTTGTAAATAAATTAGTTGGGAGTGGGAAGTCGTTTTCTCAGATCGTGCCCTCAAATGTGATTTCCCCCCAGTACAGCCTCTACTCTCTATCCATTCTTCTTTTTGTTCCTGAGCAAACTTCAGGTTTCTTTTGCTTCTCTTTTCCAGCTGCTGCAGTATCTCGGAAGAAAAAACGGAGAATGGGAACCTATAGCCTGGTTCCCAAGAAAAAGACCAAAGTGTTAAAACAGAGAACAATGATTGAGATGTTTAAGAGCATAACTCATTCCTCTGCGGGTGCCAAGGTAAGGGGAGTGCTGAGCCCACTGAACATGTTTGTTGTCACCATACACGTCCCTTTTCCTGGCACACCAACCCCATGTATAGGCACAGGAATGTGCTGGCTTGGTGCAGTTGGCATCTTCTGTTCTGAGTCTACATCTTCTCTCTGGCAGTAGCATCCTGCCCGTAGCAGCCTTGCTGCTTTGAAAAGGGCTTTTTGAGAGGAGCTGTTCAGATATCCAGCTCTGAAACAAACATTTTCCAGTGAATGTTCCCCTTCTGTCCTGTCAGCCCTGTGGAACTGGAGAGATTTCAAGCACACTCCTTGTGGTAACCTTTTTGTTTCAGAACCCTTGAGGTAACTGTTTAGTGTTACTGCTTGAGGCTGTACAGCAAAACGACCGGTTACTTAGAAAAGCTTAGACAGGGACTCCCTCCTGGTCAAATTCTGCTTTTGCTGCAGCCCATGCCCTGAAGTTTTAGTCTTTGAATTCAAGGAAAACAGTGTTAGGCTTTCATGGAGAGGAGTGAAAATCCTTCTCTCTGATTTAACTTCCCTTTCCATTCCCTAGAAACCTTCATGTACCCTTGACATGCTGTGGTGGAGCTGCCCTTCCATGTCTGAGTTAGACTGCAGGGGTCTAATTCCCAGCTGCCCAGCAGCCCTTCTCCCCTGCTCCCCGTTGTACAACTGTGAATCTGGAATGACTCCTTGTGGCTCCTCGTTCCCCAGGTCGGCAGGGTTAGGTGACACATGGCAGGCTCTCAGCACGGCTTTGCAGGCAGCATTGAGGAGCTCTGGAGGGACAGAGCCAGCTTCTTCCTAACAGCTCTAAGGCTCCTAGAACAGAGGTGGTCCAGGATGGGTTCGGCTGCTCTGTCCTGTGAGTTGATGTTGTCTCTGTGGCTCATGTGCTTGGACAACTTTCAGAGTGAAAAAGATCTGGGTGATGCCAGCCCTCACGTGAACGGGGAAAGCATAGAGGTAGACTCTGAAGAGGAAGACTCTGATGAGTTGGAAGATGATGACGATCATGGAGCAGAACAGGCAGCTGTGTTTCCTGCAGATGATAACAGGACTTCTAAAGACAGCGCATCCGATGCAGACAATGCCAGAAAGGTATTCACATGCCCTGTGCAGGACTTGGAGTGGGATGGGACACTGCTTGTATGCATGGGATAGGAGCAGCATGAGTAGAGGCAATTTCTAAGTTTTTTTAGCCCCCGAGATAGCAGAAAGCACAGCAGTGGTAGTGAGGGTTGTTGATGACCATTGCCTGCTCCCCGTTGCTCCCATGAGAGTCTCTTCACCTGCTCCCTTGCTACATAACGCTCTGTGGTCCAGTATATGTGCAGAACCCCCACCACGTTTAGTTACAGGATTCACTGAACCAGTAAGAGACATCTTCCCAATCTTGCTTGTAACAGGCTGGTAAAGCACTAAAATGGGTTTAGTTCGTGTTTTCCCAAATCTGCATAGTGCAGACACGGGGCTGTTTCTGGATGATCACAGAAGTTGAGATTTGGTTGGAAAACTGTCTTCTGGGGTTGAATTTTTTTCCCTGTACCATCCCCATGGATGTACCATGATGTGCATTAACAGCCTTGGAGTTCTCATCCTGGAGAGGAAGTTGTGTCAGTGCATGTGCAGGCTGGGACTGGGTGCTGAGTGCTGTGCTCTGCTGGGTGGAAGGGCACAGCAGGATGGCAGGGGGATGCCTGGGGGCATGCCCTGCTTCCAGAGACCTGACCTGCCTGACTCTTTCTGTTCTTGGGCAAATGGTGGCTGCAGATTGATGATGGCGAGTCTGAGGAGGAACAGGAGTCTGGAGAGTCTGGGGAGGAGGAGGAGGATGGAGATGAGTCTGACTTGGTAAGCCTGACTGCTAAATGTGCCTTTCAGCCTTTCTCCTGTTGATAATTCTTTCCCCTTTGCACTGCTGCCGAAAGAGCCAGCGAGAGAGGGAAGCCGCATAGTTTAACGTCTCTTTGACAAAACTCACTCTCTGAAACCACCCACACAGAGTATTGTTTTCCACAAGGTGCTCAACCCTGGTCTGTGATACAGTTAACTGCTTTCTGATGCTAATTAATGGGCTTTCGTTGGTGTTTTTTCAACAAGGTGTTGACTGCTTTTAATCATTTGAGTGTTAGTAGAAATATTTAAGGGTGCTTAGATTCTTCAGATGCCGACTTGGCAAGTGGTAGGAGCCAGCAATGTTTTCTTAACAACCTGAAGCTCAGCAAGGCTTTTGGGAGCCCAGGCGGAGTTTTTCACAAATCCCATGGCCCAGCCCGCAGCCTAAATTCACATCGATTTGACATGCTGCCTCATGGTGCCAGATGAGCCGGCAGCTCTTATCAGGGAAACGTAGAAGGAGCACCCAGACAGACAGACACTCTCCCTAGGAGGTTGTCTTGTTTAGTGCTAGAGCAAGACTTTCACCAACTGGTGATGATTTTTAGTTGGCTGGTGAAGAGAAGCAGATTTTTATTTAAATTGTTGTTCATTGATTGTCTCCCACCCTCCACTTTCACTTAAAGTTTTGCTCCCTTTCCATAGCACCCCAAGTTGAGGGGGCAGCATGTAAGGCACCCCAACTCTTCAGTCACCCTGAGAAAATTCTTGGCTTCAGTTTTTTGATGTTTTGAGCTGAAGGTAGACATAAGTATACAAGTGAATCACTGAAGCTCTTCAGGGTCTTGTTCCTCGTGCCCTGACACTACAGGAGCCAGAGAGGACTGAGCAGCAGGGGCTGGGTAGCCTGCCCCTTTCTCTAGGTAGCCGAGGCCAGTCTGTAGCATGACTTGTAGTCAAGTTCAAACTCCCAAGTCATATCTTCACATCCTAGACGGTGGTTTTTGCTCTGCTCGTATCTGGTGAGTCAGTCGGTTCCCCAGACAGAGAGTGGCTCAAATGCAAACCTCTCCCCCACGAGCAGTGTGATGCAATTGGTGTACGGCCACGTGGCAGGGCACAGCCGAGCCCACGCTTGGGGACCGTTATCAGGGGCAGCGTAGACACGCCGTAGAGCTGCCCCGGAGAGCCAGGGCTCAGCGTCGTCCTTGCCCGGCCTCGCTCACTCTGATAACAGGGCATGGTGCCACATCAGCTTCCTGGGAAGGTAGGGCCTGATCCAGCCCCTCTTAACGGTAGCAGGAGGTTTTGCACAGGCTTCTGTGGGAGATGGATAAGCATCGGGAGCTGGCAGTTTAAATTTGAACGTGAATTTTATGATGGGTGCTTTGAAGGCTGCCTTACAGGGTTGGGGTGCCTGATTCCCTGCTCTGATGTTGACTTTGCAAACCCACCCCAGACTACTGTATTTTTTTAAACCCAAACGCTGTTTGGATTCGTATATGTGTGTGAATGTTTGCTGCCTGGTTAGTTGGTGCTACTCTGGACCTTGCTCAGGGAGGGGGCTGGTCTGCCACTGTTGAGTTCAATTCCCTTGGGTCCATCCTATCCCTGTAAGATGGCTCTTCAGGTGCAATGTGGGGTTTTTTTTTGGTGTTTTCTACCATGACTGTGGAGCAACGTGAATGTGTCAGTTTGAAAAAACGACAGTTACTCTGGGGAGAAGCTAAAAGTGTGCGTGTGCCATGCATTGCTGCGCGGGGTTGCTCAGCTACTACTGTGATGAGTGTGGTGTAAGAGCCTACATGGAAGAGAAAGTGAAGCATGCACTATTGAAATGACAGGAAACACACCCACACGTGTGCTTGTGTTTCCTTTTCGGCGCTATAAAGACATCTTAGCACTCCTTGATTTCAAACCCCCAGTCCTTAAGGCCTTTTCGCATAACCCACGCTGCGAGAAGGCTCTTTCCCATGGGCGCAAAGGACTGCTGGGACGCTGATGCCAACATGCCTTACATGCACGTGGCCTCTCTGGTTATTCAGAGCTCGGAGTCCAGCGTCAAGAAGAAGCTGCTGAAGAGGAAAGGAAAGACGGACAGTCCATGGCTGAAACCCACCCGCAAGAGGAGACGGAGGAATAAAAAGAAACAAGCCAGTATGCTAGGTAACTACTTGTGTTTTGTTCCTTAATTACACAGTTATTAGCTTCCAGGTGGAGAGGTAAGGACCTGAGGCCAGTAAGGCGGTGGCTGGCTGCAGAGCTCGCTCTTCCTTTACCAGGATGGGCTGTATGATGAACCAGAGTGTGAACTTGCATCTCACTGACAGTAGCTGCTGGTGTGCGTACTTGAACAGCAGAATACATGTGAAGTGGCTTTATCCTTGGCATGCTGGAGAAATATTTTTTTTTTGTTCATGAGCTCCCTTTATTTTAGAGTATCCAAAAAGACCTCGTGGACTCATGTCCATGTGGACTCATATCCCCTTAGCTCGGGGAGTGTGGTTAGATGCAGAAGGGAAAGGAAGATCCACCCCAGAGTGATGCTCAGTTGCTTTTGGATGGCTGTTTGTCGAGCTGAATGGAACGTGCAGGTTGTCTTTGCTTACTCTGAAAGCACCACAACGTTTGTAATGAGCTACCTCTGGCCCATCTCATGGTGTGGACGTCATTCAGGTGGTCATTCTTGCTTGACCTAAGTTACCCAGCACTCAAAAGAAGGTTTCGGTGGCCTTTGTCTTCTGAAAGCTGTGGGGTGGGGAGAGCCAGGAGTGCAGGCTGGATGTGATACTACTTCTTCAGGAAAGATAACAACATGGGTAAAAAAAAAAGTGGATGGTCTTTGAAACTTTCAGCTTCGTTACTAAGGTTTCACACATCCATTGCCATCAAAGGGTTTATTTTTCTGTTCTTGCTAATTCTTTGCAAACAGACCATTTTTTTATCAGCATTTGTGGCTACTTCTGAGCCAAATGACCGTGTTTCAGCTCCTGGGTCTGTGCCTGGGGTTTGTCAGTCATCTGGCTTGCTCCTCAAGATGAAGTAGGGGCCGTTGATCCCTTTCTGAGCAAACAGCTAATTCTTCATTTCAGATGCAGACTGGTTTTCTGCCCCTTCAGTAAAGGTGGCAGCCAGTCTAACGAAAGTCTCTTGGCCAAGCTGGAGTGGGAGAAGCCAAGGGAGTTGCAAAGAGATTGACAATTCCCACGAGCTCTCCCGGGGGTCCCCATGCAATCTTTTCCCAGCGAGGGATCCCGATGCAATCTCTTTCCAGCAGCACCTTTGTTCACTTAGAGCCAGAACTTGGCTTTTATGTTTTTCCCCTCCTCTTAAGCTGAATGTCACCTGTCACGTCCTCTTCACGATGTACTCCATCAGCCAGTTTGCTCTGCCTGGCCGGAGCGTACCTGGAGCCCTTTGCAGCAGGTCGGAGGCAGGAGGATGCGCTGAGCCCTGGTTTCATCCCTTCCTCGTGCCGTTTAAGCTTCTGCTGCCGACGCAGTATGGCAGCAGGCAGATGTGCCTTTCAGAGGCAGAACTTATTTGTCTCATTTATTCTTTTCGTTTTGTTGTTACCTACCTAAGTGGAAATTAAAAAAATCTGTCTGATCAGACAGGGGAGGAAATAAGAGATCCATTGTGCCATATACGCCCAGATGTTGCATTTTCATAATTCCATGTGCATCTGTCCTCACGGCCTCTCTGAGGAGCCTGCATACAGCCTGCTCCCTTAAATATGGCCCTTACATCCGATTTAATTATTGCATTATTATTATTATTTTTATCTTTTTTCTTTTAAGCTGTGTAAATACGCGCGTGTTTCCAT